GATAGATAGATAGATAGATAGATAGATAGATAGATAGATAGATAGATAGATAGATAGATAGATAGATAGATAGATAGATAGATAGATAGATAGATAGATAGATAGATAGATAGATAGATAGATAGATAGATAGATAGATAGATAGATAGATAGATAGATAGATAGATAGATAGATAGATAGATAGATAGATAGATAGATAGATAGATAGATAGATAGATAGATAGATAGATAGATAGATAGATAGATAGATAGATAGATAGATAGATAGATAGATAGATAGATAGATAGATAGATAGATAGATAGATAGATAGATAGATAGATAGATAGATAGATAGATAGATAGATAGATAGATAGATAGATAGATAGATAGATAGATAGATAGATAGATAGATAGATAGATAGATAGATAGATAGATAGATAGATAGATAGATAGATAGATAGATAGATAGATAGATAGATAGATAGATAGATAGATAGATAGATAGATAGATAGATAGATAGATAGATAGATAGATAGATAGATAGATAGATAGATAGATAGATAGATAGATAGATAGATAGATAGATAGATAGATAGATAGATAGATAGATAGATAGATAGATAGATAGATAGATAGATAGATAGATAGATAGATAGATAGATAGATAGATAGATAGATAGATAGATAGATAGATAGATAGATAGATAGATAGATAGATAGATAGATAGATAGATAGATAGATAGATAGATAGATAGATAGATAGATAGATAGATAGATAGATAGATAGATAGATAGATAGATAGATAGATAGATAGATAGATAGATAGATAGATAGATAGATAGATAGATAGATAGATAGATAGATAGATAGATAGATAGATAGATAGATAGATAGATAGATAGATAGATAGATAGATAGATAGATAGATAGATAGATAGATAGATAGATAGATAGATAGATAGATAGATAGATAGATAGATAGATAGATAGATAGATAGATAGATAGATAGATAGATAGATAGATAGATAGATAGATAGATAGATAGATAGATAGATAGATAGATAGATAGATAGATAGATAGATAGATAGATAGATAGATAGATAGATAGATAGATAGATAGATAGATAGATAGATAGATAGATAGATAGATAGATAGATAGATAGATAGATAGATAGATAGATAGATAGATAGATAGATAGATAGATAGATAGATAGATAGATAGATAGATAGATAGATAGATAGATAGATAGATAGATAGATAGATAGATAGATAGATAGATAGATAGATAGATAGATAGATAGATAGATAGATAGATAGATAGATAGATAGATAGATAGATAGATAGATAGATAGATAGATAGATAGATAGATAGATAGATAGATAGATAGATAGATAGATAGATAGATAGATAGATAGATAGATAGATAGATAGATAGATAGATAGATAGATAGATAGATAGATAGATAGATAGATAGATAGATAGATAGATAGATAGATAGATAGATAGATAGATAGATAGATAGATAGATAGATAGATAGATAGATAGATAGATAGATAGATAGATAGATAGATAGATAGATAGATAGATAGATAGATAGATAGATAGATAGATAGATAGATAGATAGATAGATAGATAGATAGATAGATAGATAGATAGATAGATAGATAGATAGATAGATAGATAGATAGATAGATAGATAGATAGATAGATAGATAGATAGATAGATAGATAGATAGATAGATAGATAGATAGATAGATAGATAGATAGATAGATAGATAGATAGATAGATAGATAGATAGATAGATAGATAGATAGATAGATAGATAGATAGATAGATAGATAGATAGATAGATAGATAGATAGATAGATAGATAGATAGATAGATAGATAGATAGATAGATAGATAGATAGATAGATAGATAGATAGATAGATAGATAGATAGATAGATAGATAGATAGATAGATAGATAGATAGATAGATAGATAGATAGATAGATAGATAGATAGATAGATAGATAGATAGATAGATAGATAGATAGATAGATAGATAGATAGATAGATAGATAGATAGATAGATAGATAGATAGATAGATAGATAGATAGATAGATAGATAGATAGATAGATAGATAGATAGATAGATAGATAGATAGATAGATAGATAGATAGATAGATAGATAGATAGATAGATAGATAGATAGATAGATAGATAGATAGATAGATAGATAGATAGATAGATAGATAGATAGATAGATAGATAGATAGATAGATAGATAGATAGATAGATAGATAGATAGATAGATAGATAGATAGATAGATAGATAGATNCAATGGTACCTGATTCAAATATACTGGGAAGGTAATAAATTGGTACATTTTTTCCGTTTTAAAAATAAACAATATTTTATTGAAATCGGTCAGAAATAAAATTATCTATGTACCACGGGAATTAATGAGCCTTAATAACCTCAGGCAATTGCTGTCCCTCGGGCCGGACGCCCTCGGGACGCAAACTTTGCCATCGGTAATTAAGGCCCTTATAATTCCCTAGATACATAAATAACTATTAAGGGTCAATAGATTTGGGTATTTTTTATTTTGTTTTTTTTTTGTAATGATCTGTTTTCTGCCTGTATCGTTCCTAAGAGACTTGCACCGTTTTGCATTCATCTGCACTTTTGCACTCAATATGCACCGAGACTATTTCCATCCTTTATTATTCGATATAATAGTAAAGGATGGACACATTCTCAATGCGCATTTAGAGCAAACGTATAAAGGAATGGAAACGCTGTTAGATTTTAACAAACTTGATGAAAAAACCTCTAAGAATAGTTGTTAACTATGTTTTTCTCTATGTATTTTCATTTTGATAGTGACAATACTACTGTTTAGTCAGAACTGATTTTCTCGAAAACAGTTAGTTGTATCAAAAAATTTAAAGAGCTAAAATTCAAGATCATTGCGTTACTGATAAGATGGTGAAAATAAATTTTAAAATTTTTCACAGCAAATTTGAAATTTGAAAATATGTTAATTTAACTCTTCATCAGCCAATACATAAGAAGTATGGTAGATTTGTGACTAAAATATTACGATTTGAGCCAACTTGCCTTAATAAAATATTGATAATAAGAAAGATACAGGGTGTTAAAAGTGAAATTTCAAAATTTATTTTTCGCAATACTTAACTTGAACGTTTTTGGACATTTATGCAAAAAAAAATGAATGGGGTTATTTGGTATGAGAAATCATAATTTGGTATCTACTTTAATGTATTTTTTAGAGGGCGACACATAAGCCACACGTGTGGCATACATGTACAAATCTTCCATACTTCTACGAGTATACTGGGTACTGGGTGTAACGTAAAGGTTGGGAATAAATTAAACGGTGGATTTTTTGGTTTAAAAAATAATTTTTTCTCACATAAATTTATGTTCTACGGGTTTTCTTTTCCAAGCTACGGGGCGCTAAAAAGTTTCAAAGAATTTAGTTTTTCTCCGATAACTTTGGAACATTATAAGATAATTTAACGAAATTTTAGCCTTACTTTAATTTGATAATCCCCTAGTAACAGGAAAAAGATTGATTTTGTAAGTTACTCAGTGGCGTACGTACGGATTGTACCGTAAGGTTTTTCAAAGAAAATTGTGGTACGCCACTGGTAAAAACATTTTTAATACTTTTTTATGATCCACTTTTTATTTTAAACAAAATTACCCTTTTGCGTTTTATTTCTAGCTCTTGTAATTTTTCCGTAAATAAAACTTTTGTAAATACCATTTTTTCCCTCTGCTAACATAGGAAAATAAAAATAACCAAAACATTGTGACGTATGCTTTGACTCAGCCACCGGACATGGCCGAATAGGCATTGAAAAATGATTTTTGCATTGAAAATGATATTGAAAAACCAAATTTTTTTAAATTTTTTAGTGCCGCTGTAGTTTGGGAAAGAAAACCTGTAGAGCATAACGTTATATGACAAATATTTATCTTTTAAAATAAAAAATCCACCGTTTAATTTATTCCCAACCTTTACGTTACATCCTGTATACAATTACTTAAGGACCACCCTGTATTTTTTTTAAATGCGACTTTACCTTATTTTATTGTAGACATGAATTTTTTTCTTTGTATATTAAAATTTTTATCGGTATTCATGTAATTATTTTATTAATTACCGCCAACACATTTTCGAAACATGGTGAATCTAATTATAATCAAAAGTTTGATTTATTTGATAATAAAAATTAGGTATATAACATTTTATGGAATTCAGAAACATATGACTTATTCTACTTATTTTTTTTACAAAAGTTTTATTTTGAATTTGTTTGAATAATATAGTAGAGGAAAATACAAGAACTAATAAAGAAATATATAATTTTTTTAAATTCCAATTATATTTTTGTATTTAAAATATTTTTAAAAAGTGGTCTAATAAAATAATGTATTACACGAAAACTGTTAGGAATAAAAAACTTTTTAAGGAACTCTTGAATTACTTAAACTCTTATTCTTGTGTCAAAATAAGATCTGAAATGGTCGCCTGTAAAAAAAATGTGCAATGTTGATTACTAGTGGGGGTGGTTTTCTCATTTCTGTATATGTGTATTAACCTAATCAAAGCATTTTAGTTATTTGGAAAAAAATTAACGACCACTAAAGAATAAATGAAGCAACTTTAGGTACTAGTAAGTTTAGTCAGTTTGACATGAATTTGTGGTAGTTCCATATACATGAAATATTGAAAACACCTTGTACAATTATTTTAAAAATATCCTTAAATAATATAATCTCTTTTTTATTTCACTACGACAAAATTAATTTAGAATAATAACCTGAACAAAACTGTAGTAGAGGTAATAAAACAAAACAAAAATATAACACTGAAAGTTTTTTAAATTGTAAAAAATTGGACTTCCAGTAATATATTAAACTAGTTCTACTACATGCCTTATTAATTAATTTTCTTGAAAGTACATTGAGAACCAAAGAGGAAATAATATAATACTGTTTATTATTTTATTTAAAAAAATTGATAACGTACAAATTTACATTTCGGTATAGATACTAAAACTAACAGGAGTTGCCAAATGTTTCAATTTTAGATAACCCGATGCTTAAAATATACCGACGAAAGTAAGTATAAATATTTAGTTTTAAGCCGATTTGCTATCCAAAGGAGGTTGGGTAGTATTTTTTAAATCAACTTTATCGGAGTCATCTTCCACAGGTTTATTCGAATTTTTTATTTTCACCTCGGCCTGAGCATCCGATTTGGGTTCGTAGTTTACTTCAATTTCTAGTTCTCTTGAAACTCTATAAGGGTCGCCATAAGGATTAGTCGATAAGTTTGGACCCACACTGATCAGAGGATCTATGCCTAGATCGGAATTATTGTTAGTCTGTTGGAAAGGATTTTCTATCCCAGGTGCCCAACTTCCGTACGTCATTACATTAGGGTCATTGAAACCAGTACCAGCACCAAGAGCGATAGCAGGATATCCGCCAAATGGAGGGTAGGCCCCACCATAACCAGGGTATCCGCCGTATCCACCAAATACTGGATAACCTCCATACGCCCCTCCATATCCTTCATATCCTCCATATCCTCCGTAACCAAAGCACGAAAAACATGGTGCATGTGAGTAGGTCTGCCTGTAAACTGGCCCTTGTCTGTAATAAGGGCCGATGCCGAATCCATCGTCGTAACACGCAGATGGACAATTCAGGTAATTCTGAGCGTTCGAGTTGACATAGTGACTGTAACAGCCTGCACAAGATACTGATCTTGAAATGCCGCAGGCAACGTAAGGCCAAGTAGACTGATAGGTGCATCTAGGCTGGGGTTGTGGAATATACATCACTGACTGGCGACAACTAGGTGCACTTCCTGGATATGTAGTCTGGCATATTTGCTGTTGTTCCTTATGTACTATAGGAGCCGTGCAGTACTCACCGCATTGTTTTGAACGGTAATGGAAACATTTGTAGAAAGGATATTCATTGTGAGGCGCACATTGCCGAGGACTAATGACCACGCAGCAACTTTGTGTCCCATTAGATCCGGCATTGAGTCCCCTTTCATATAACGTTATATTCTGCTGGTTGGTGTTATTAAGCGAAATGGGAATATCGATGACGTTAGTGTTATTGATAACATTATTCAAATGAATAATGGTGGTAATATTATGCTTATTGTCGTTCGAATTGATGTTGGTGATATTGCTAGCAGTTTTTTCATCTAAGTCCTTAATTCTGTCGTAACAAGTCTTTCGGCAAGAACTTCTGCAACTGGACGACCTACACTGGGCATGGCACGTTTTATGGCAGCAGTGGTTGTTGGTGCAGACGTTGTAGTTGTTGCAACAACTGCTGCAGCAGGAATCGCAGGCATTTTGGCAGGAGCTATAACCGCACGAATTACAGTCGCACTCGTTGCACGTGTTTATACAATTGTCCGAGTCGCAAGGTATATTGCAATCGGTCGATCGCTTTTGCCTTCTTCTAATGCAATTAACGTATTCCTTGTAATTTGTAGAATGGCATTCTTTGATTATTTCGTGACAAGTTTCTTGCACTGACCGTATTTCCTGAACCGCCAGTGTGCCCAAAATGAAGAAAAGGAATAGTCGCATCTGAAAAATAAAAATATATCAAAATTAGTGAGACAAACATATCAAATGTACCATTTCACCTACTTTCTATACCTACGCTAAATGAAATTCTATAAAAATATAAAGGTGTAATTTTTTCAATGTGACTGAAAAATGAATAATATGCTATTTTTTATTGTATATTACAGTAGAAAGTCTTGGTATTTGTTTAATATACAGGGCGTTTGTAAATAAGTGCGAAATATTTTAGGGGGTGGTTGCCGAGGTTATTTTGTGAAAAAAAGTTCATATAAACGTAGGTCAAAATATGCTTCGTTTTCGAGATACAGAATGTTTAAATTTTAATTTTTTATTTATTTTTATTAATTATTTTATTATATTATAATATACAAGGTGATTCAGGATTAATCTGGATAACTTCAGGAATCCATAGAATCGGTTAAAATAATGTTCACTCATGATTTAAACTTATTTCCTCGCACAGTTTCGGAGATAGAGGGCGTTGAAGTAGGAATTTTTTTCCTGTTTTTCCCTCATAACTTTTGAACCAATCATCCGAATGAAGTGAAATTCGGAACACAAACACTCCTCATGATCTTATATAAGCTCCTGAACCACCTACCCCTCTTAGAAGTGTACTTTGTGTGCCCCCCCCCCTTATATTATTTCAAAACTTAACTAATTAATTTCAATAAAACTGCTGCACACCACCTTTGCCTCATTAATTTTGAAAGAGTTTATGTAAGATCATCAGGAGTGTTTGTGTTCCGAATTTCACTTCATTCGGATGAGTGGTTCAAAAGTTATGAGGGAAAAACGGGAAAAAAATTCCTACTTCAACGCCCTCTATCTCCGAAATGGTGCGATTTAGGAAATAAGTTTATATCATGACTGAACATTGTTTTAACCTGTTCTATCGATTCCTGAATTTATGCAGAATAAATCTGAATCACCCTGTATACTATATTATATATACTATATTATACTATATTATAAGAGTTTTAAAGATATTGACTCGAAATTTGAAAAACGTTTTGGAGGGATCCGAATATTTCTCCTTCTTCTACCAGTGACGTTCGTGCGAGAATGCGACAAACTGTTTTAATAAAAAAGATGGATTAAAAATTTTAGTCCAAAATGTTTAATATTTTTGTACAACTTATAAGAAAATGATTTTCAAAGTTCTTGAAAAAGATTAAGTTTAGGTACATGATGTGCTATATGAATTTTGTTTAGAATTTCGAGAAGAATTGAAATATGGAATAATATACAGTGTTCCATTAAATAGGATGATCCTGTATACTTACTTAACTTTTCTTTATTATAATAGATTTAAAAAAACCCTAAAACGTTTGTATCTTATGATTTTTCGATAGCATGCTAAAAAACACGTATTAGTAGTCATTGAAGCTTTTCTGCCTGTTTGGGGTTGAAATTTTTTTCAAAAATAAATACAATACTGTTTGTATTGACCGTTGCTAGGCGGTTGCTAGGAAAACTGTACGATTTTTTTACCAAGCTGTGCGATTTTTTTATCGTACGTAATAGGAATCTTACCTTGATAGCAGACGGTGTGTTTTTAAGTATTTACAGTAGTGGTCGTAGGTAAACGTAATTGTGTATCTTTTTTTTTAGCACAGGAGTGATTTATTTATAGATAAGGTTTGAAAAGTGTTATGAGATACAAATTGTTTCATAAGCAATGAGGGAATTTTTATTTTAAATAATTGCACCGTTAAAGTATTCCAAGCTTTTAAAAAGTAATTTTTTATCATTTTTGTCAATACAAGGGTGGTTTTTAGGGGTTGAAAGGGAAAAATTCTTTTATTAGCTATAAGGTAACTTTTACTTTAAATAATTGCACGATTTAATCATTCCAAATCTTTAAAAAGTAATTTTTTTCATTATTTTTTGCATAGGGGTAATTTTAAAGGGTTAAATAAAGGGTCGAAAAAATCAAATATATCATAAAACATGTTCGAGAACATGGAACATTATTTAATCCTTGTGATTGAACAAGATTTTTATTAATAAAATGCTTAAAACTTAATTTTTTCAATTTTTTTCGCTTAGAGGTAGTTTTTACCCCTAAAAAAACAAAAAGCGTCAATCGGACTTATGTCACTTTAGAACTTGAGCCTAAGATGAGCCTTATTCTAAATTTTCATGCAAATCCATGTAGTTTCAAAGGTAGGTATATGTGAGTATAGCACTCTTAAAATGTTCAGTTCGTTTTTCAGTTTTACTCGAAAATCAGCCTTTTTTCGAAAAACATACAAGAGAGTAGTAATTTGCAGAAAATTGAAAGGCGAATCCGAAAATATCATGAATGTTCTACATTTTAGTAAAAGCCCTCAGATTTTGAACAATGTTTATATAAATACATGTGCCTAATTTCAAATTATTTTACTTACTAGTTTTTAAATTATTTAAAAAAATTAAAAATATGTTTTTTAAGTTTCACCAAAGACGAGGTTTAATTTTTGGTCACCGTTTGTGAATCACCCTGTACATGTACTTCTTCCCAATGCTCAAAATATTATTTTAAAATTTTCTCAAGTATTTACAAATTGTTGCTTTTCATTATAATGCTTTACCTTATGATCATTATTTCACCCTATTTTAGGAGATATTTTAGGGTTTTACTAAAAAATACTCTAGTACATCGGTTTTTGGGCTGCGAATTCGGATTCAGTATAAAAAAAACAATGTCTATGTAGGTACTCATGCCTCTGGTACATAATTTTTTTTGTTGGGCTGTGTTATCTGAAAGTCTATCAAAATATTAGGTATTAATAAAAAAAAGAAACAATTGATAGTTATAAATGACTAAATACTGCAAACTTTCATAGAAATTATCTTTTTTCTTGTTTCTGATATCAATCATATCTTTGAGAAAGATAAATCTCGCATAATGAATCACAATACACAAACTGAGCTATTGCTGCATTTTAAAAATTACATTTTTCAAGGGGGTTTCTTTTTAAAATTGGAATAATTTACTGAATATTTGTACATATGTATTAAAATATGCATGTAGGTAGGTTAAAAAATAACGCATACTATTAATGATATATGAAACAGCTAACTACTCTGCGGACTAAATATTCTTGATTTTGTAAATTCGACGGTTAAATAAAAACGAAACCCTATTTCATTTTGACCATGATTCCCCTATGTTGATTATATTATCTATCATATATGAAAGTCGGGGTCATTGTCATTTGAAAAAAATAAGACTTCCGGTTTTTCACCAAATTTTTTTCAAACAAATATTGATTGTCTGTGAATATTATTTTTACTTTACCTTCTAATATGTAAAATACCTCGTTCTTAATATGAATAGGATATCCACAAAAACGACATGTTATGTGTTTAAATAAACAACTGATAATTTGGCCAGTTGGGAGACACTACAAAAGCATATTTAAATAATTGCTTTTGATAAAGATTTTGAGAGTATTTTTATTAAATAGTATCTTTTTAGTTTAAGTAAGTAGAATAAGTGTATTTAGCATATAAAATACCAACAATTTTTCAAATAAAAAGGTTATTCGACATCACAAAAAACAGCCAAAATTTCAGAACGTACACAAAAAAATTAAAATATGGAAATACGATTTTCGCCGTTTAACTTTTGTCGAAAATCGCGAAAATAATTTGCGAATTGTGATTTTATGTGTAATTTTCAGTGAATTAATGGCAGTCTTTTGACGGGGGGTTTTAGAAAATCTAAGCAAGTTAGAAACAATATCTCTTCACTGTATCAGTTATACAATTTTTCTCCAGGGTATATAAGGCAATTTACAAGCTGGCAATACATTTAGAATAAGAAAAAAATTATATTTTTACTTCTTATGTTTATCATTACATTTCCTGAACTTTACACGCCTATTGAATATACAGAAATCGGAATATTTTTTAAACTATTAACACATGAATTAATCATAATTATTATTATTGAGTATTTTTAAAAAATTCTCGACAAAACAGGAAAGGTACACTCCGATATTTACATGGGTGCCCATGAACTTTAAATGCTAAAAAATCACTTCACTTTGCTTAAAAAAAGGTATACCGTATATCAGTCGATATCTTGTACCGTTTTTGAGAATCGAATTTTACTAACGACATACATGTATTGTATAGAAAATGCAATATTAACATTTTTGTAAAAATGTTGGTTTCTTTGGAAATTGAGATCACTGTCAACAAGTAGGTATGTATAATTAGTAGTTAGATATTTGTCATAAATCATTTTGACACCATTTGTTGATTCAAAATCATGGAGGATTTTAGCTATGAAGAATTTACAGCTTTTGAAGCTGTTCGGATTTACGCTAACCGCTTTCCAAATAAAATTTGCATATTTAAGTGACGAAAATCCCCATGCTATTATTCAGACAAAACACCAACAAAAATTTATCATTAATGTATGGATGGGAATAATTGGAAACTACTTAGTGGGACCACATATCATTGATGACACTTTAAATGGGGATAAATAATAATATTTACTGCAAGAATACCTTAACCCGTTGTTGGAAGACGTCCCTTTAAATATTTGAAATAACATGTGGCTTATGCCTGATGGTGCACCATCTCATTTTAGCAAGACAGTAAGAGCTTATTTAAATACTACATTTTCCGATCGATGGATCGGTCGAGGTAGTCCTTTTCCGTGGCCGCCTCGGTCTCCCAATCTTAATGCGATCTCGATTGTTTCTTTGGAGCCATCTTAAAAGTCTTGTTTATCAAACTCTTATAAATAGTTAGGAAGAATTGTTATATATCATGTGTTATTTCGAGTAGAGCAGAGGTGATTGAACAATTTCAGAAAATGCATTGAAGTTCAAGATGTACATATTGAACATCTTACTTAACAGTTCACTTTCTTTTAATTCTATAGAACCTAAGATTTTTACAAAAATGTTAGTATCCCATTTTTGATACAATAAGGGCCATTTTCATAATAATATCTGGTTACTTGAAGATGACTGGAAACTGCAAGTTAACCAGTAAATTTCCTTTTCACAATATCGGATTTGGCATTAGCTTTTGGTTAACCTCCCAATTTGTTAACTATAACTTAAAGTATGGGTTAACTACCGGTTTTGAGAAACCTAACCTATAAAGTTTTATCTAAATCCGTAAATTTTATCGAGTTGGGATTCAGAATTTAGTTTGTAGAAGTTTGTTTAAAATGAGTGATTATGAAAAAAATGCATATAGCAGCAAAGAGAAATTAATAAATGAAGTAATGCCTATAATACTTCGGAGGAGACCTAATTATTTTGAAATTATGATTCACACGACTTTTTTGTGAGATTTAGATTAAAACCCAGAACAGTTGAAATGTTGTTGGAGGAACTTGAGGCAGCAATCAGTCATCCAACAGAAAGGTAAGTATCCAAATTACCTTATGTAATAACTACTTAATTGTTTTCTTTTGTAGGAACCTCGCTTTGTCTACAACTTGCAAGTCAACAGTTGTTGCATGTTGACTTTAAATTTTGCAAACGTTTCCTATCGAGCCATAGCCGCGTTACGTCCACAATATATTCAAATGCCAGAAAAGGGAGAAATTCCGGCAAAAATTTTTTATTATTCTTCAATACGTTTCCAAATGTTTTCCTTATCTTTCCATGTACGTACATCACGATTTTTACACTCTATAATATTTTTATATTAAATATATCAATAAATTCTCTTCGTCTTGTGTAAATATTACTGCTCTTTTATTATCCATTGCGTTTTTTGGTTTCTCTTTATCTTTTCTAAACGAAAATGTGAGGTTATTTGACTTCCACAGACCACTGATTATCTAATAATAAGGGTCACGTGACGAGTTCTCGGCACTACCAATTGTAGAAAAACATATATACTTTCGGTTAACTTAACCCTGAATGCGAAATTTTTTATGAAATGATATGTCTGGGTTAACTTTAAGGTAATATTTACCTTTACTTTTACTTTTACCGCATATTATGAAAATGGCCCTAATGGCCTTAAATGTATGTTCTTAATAAAATTCGATTTTCTCAAAAACGGTACAAAATATCGACTGATATACGGTATACCTTTTTTTTAACAAAGTGAGAACTATGGAAGAAAAATATTAAATTTGGTAACGCTGTAAAAGATGCATAAATTTAAATGGACAATTTCGTCTGCTCCTGTATAATTCAAGCATATCGAATATCAGTTTGAATTTGGAAATGAACATTACCATGAGATACTTTAATTGCCCCAATTTCATTGTTGTCATGGTAACGACTTAGAACTTATAATTGGAATTTGTTTTTCAAACTTCTGTTGTTGAAGGCGAATAATTCCACAACGAAGCCCGATACTAAAAATTTTTATATCTATTTTAACCTCCTCTGTATACCTCTTCATCTTTGACATGACCTTTCCGGACACCCTGTATACGGATGTTCCTTAATAACATGCGAATATTTAAGGGTGTGATTCTACATGGAAAATTAATGATAGTTTGCTTTATAAACTATGGTCCAAAATTGTTCCGTTGCGAAAATATGGGGTGTAAAAATTTTAGGAAAAAGAAGGAAATTAATTAATATTTTCGAAACCGCTTAAGAATATTTCACTGATATTTAGTTAGTGATAGTTAATAAAGGTGCAAACTTCAATCTCCGTTGTTTTTTAACGAATCTTGACGATTTCTGTTTTAACTTAAAGCTCTTTTCATAAGCTTTCCGAATATGTAATAATATATAACTATATCACTCTCGTGCGTCGTATATTTCATTTTGCAACTAAGGCGAAAAAATGAAAAAAAAAATCCAGGATGCAAATTTGAAATTAAAAAAGAAATAATAGATTTCAATGTATTATTATGAAATCTATCATGAAAAAAATCATTGCGATTGTGGAAGATCCTCAGGATCGCCCAGACTAATAATTAGTTAATTTGTTTATAAGGCAATAACTTGTAAACTATTCAACTTACCAGTTTCAGATTTTGTGAGAGTTATTAGACAGTGATAAGGAATGAGAGGATGCAATGCCAAAACGTTCTGGTAATAATAACTCAGTTTATAAATGTTTAATTCGAAAGTCATGCATAAACTTCTTCTGTTTATAACTTTTGATCTAATCAATATTTTTGACGCTCGAGGGTTAGTTTTGTAGGTCTTTTGAAGACGAAAAGAAAAGTATTTTACTGTTTTCTCGTGGAAATGAACGGAAAAAAGTTATAAGCGAAAAACGTGAATTTACTTAAAAATTATACAATTAACCACCCTGTAACCAATCTTCCCCCCATTTTATGTCTGTCGAAACTAATATGTTGTTGTACATAATATTTAGCATCTATAGTGATAAATTCAGCTTGCCGAAACAAAAAGTAGCATTCAACTCTATATTTCCTGACCTATACAGTACCTATTAATGGGACTTGTGTATACTAGGGCCTTAAGATTACATTAATTAATTACGGACAATACAATGGGCCAAAAACGGCGCATCGCAGGACAAAATCTCAAGAGAGCTCTTATCTTTCGAATAATTTTATTTGGGACAAAAACCTTTGGCGTATTGAAAAACATTTTATTAACTAACGGACTAAATATCACTGAAATATCTTAATCGGTTTTGAAAATATTAATTAATTTCCTTCTTTTTCCTAAAATTTTAACATCCCGTATTTCCGCAACGGAACGTTTTTGGATCATAGTTTATAAAGCAAACTATTATTAATTTCCCATGTAGAATCATACCCTTAAATATTCGCATATCATTAAGGAACAGCCTATTTAAAACGCCATCCTTAAAAGTGTTAAAATTAGTCCACTTGTATACAATGTCTATGGATTTTTCTTATTTGAAACGTAAAATTCGGAAAGATCAACGTTTTGTTACACTTTGTATAAAATTTACATCAATTTCGTAATCACGTTACATTTAATTTTTAGCGGTGTTTCATATATCTGGAGTACAATTTATTTTATTTATAAATTATTTTCGAATTAGTAAGCCAGACAAATAAACTATATTAGTAACAGATGTAAATCCAGAGAATGAAATATATATATATATATATA